CTTGTTTTTTTTTTTCGTCATACGGAGTGTAATGTCCGTAGATCATCTCCCCTACTCTAGGAGTTTAGGCACCGTTCCTATGCCTGCTTATGACACTGAGATTTTGGCATACCTCAAATCACTAGTTTCGCTGAATCTTATCTTGGGGTAGTTAGTTTGAACCCCTACATACATAGCACTTGTGCTTGTGTACTAAGCGTGTTAAGGATGTGGGAAGAGTGGGAGAGCACTTGGTAGTCCAATTTATTCTGCTCATCTGCACCCTTCGAGATAGTATTCTCTCTCTTTGCTAAGCTGAGCCTCAGCAGGAAGGTTCACTACGGCGAGCAGAAGGGAAGGCCTCTTTGGCCATGAGCCCGTAGCTGCCTTAGCTTTCCGCCACAAAACTGATAGGCGTCAAGAGAAAAGCAAAATTTTCTTGGTGCGGAGCGGACCCTTAGCATGAAAAGGGCGGTAACGTCTGTAGCGCGTACAGATTCCGTGCTGACCGGATGTGATATTTGTGTTCAGAGGGTCAAGCTGCCTTTGGGGCAAATTTCTGAGCAGTGCAGATTTTACTGGATACCACTGCAGAACCATGCTTCAGCTCTTATTTTGTCGCAAACGAAGCCGTTCTGGAGATCAGGATCCTACCGTATGTGCGGAACAATGTGCTGTCACAAATAGATCCTAATTAGTAGCGAATCAATCGTTGCGCCTTGAATCCTTGAAAGGCAACATCATTCACGAAAGTGATCGCCTGCTATTATCTTATTTCCTCTTTCGATAATTTTTCATCGAGAAACTAAAAAAGTGTTATTTTTTTCAAACGCCCGATTTCAACCAGTATTTCAGGGTACAAGCCAGCTCGTATTACACATTCATCAGACAATTTCCAGCAGTTATATGAGGTGAGCATTACCACTCTTTTCCCGCTTTATTTTCCATTTCCCTACAAAGGAGAATCAGCGTTCCGCACATAGAAGTTATTAATATGTCATAAGTGAATGCGGTTAGCTTATACCATCCCTTGTTATGTAAGTTGCTGCATCTTTTCTTTTGTTTGTTTGGTTTTTCCTGACCTGCCACTTGAGGAGGTTGGTTCACAGTTGGTATGGTAGGGAGGAAGACAATATGTATAGAGCACATTTGAGCTGAACTGAGACCTGCCCGCGGTGAGCGGGATGTGCATTGAAAGTGAGCGGTATAATATACAACACTGGTTATTCTGATTGTTGGTTTGCAGTATAGCGAAGGTAGTTAGGTAGAAAGTAGTGGAGCGTATTCTAAGGCGTGCGCGCAGCCAAAATCCGTAATTATTATAGTTAGAACGAGATCCTGAAACAATCTGGAGGTGGGAGAGAAGACTATAGAGAAGAGGAAAATCTATTTAAAGGCAGTTGGCACGATAAATCCCCAAGACGAGTAGGATTAATACGCCTGGCAGGACGGAATTCCGCGACCCTGAGCAGGCGCTGCATAATGCCTTTTCCAAGGAAGGTGCCCTTATAAGGGCCCTATCAAGCCACAACATACCGACCCAAACGCCCACCACGCCCGCCCGCCCACAAATGGACGACCGTTGGACTCTAATCGATTCATTTGCTAAGCAAATTATGAAGCGAAGGGGGTGTGAAGCGGCCGTGATGCTGCATGGATATATGAGTACACATATGCAGCCGTACCTTCGGTAGCGGTTATTGGCAAGATGCCTACAGGAAACTCGTCCAAAATTGATTTCTAACACATTGAGAACGGACCGCTCACTCCGTTCTTTCGCCATTTCCCCACTATATAGCGCCCTACTAGCATTTTAGGCCGAGTACCAAAACATCGTGCCAACAGCCTTTAAATGTGAGCATTTCCGAAAGGTGCTAAGGCACGTCTGTAGTAGGCTGACCGTGCCCTTGGGCTGACTAATTGAACAAAACTAACACGACTCCAGAAAAGGTCAAGCGTCACTTTAAGGAATATCGTTTCAGTGGGCTGTAGAATTGATAAAGCGAGGACACGCGTACGTATGTCATCAGAAGGTCGAGGACATGCGAGGATTCGATGTGCAGCTTTCACCATGGCGCTCAAGGCCGATTGAGGAGTCGCTGCAGTTGTTCGAGGTAAATTCAATGTTATGAATATCTAGATCAAAAAATGCGTGCAACTTTCTCGATACTACCTTCTACGTTTTCCTGTTCACTACTCTCTTGAGGAGACTCCATTTTCTTTTGTCTCATGACTACGACCTCTCAGAACAGATTTTTTTAGTCCTGCAAGAAACTACCTGTTGTAATCCTTGTAGTGTATGCAGAACGCGTACGACGAGGATGAAGGAGTTTATTCTGAGCACGATGAGCAATAACAGAATGAACCATACTCAATGACTGGTCTTATATACGGCCAGTATAGGATGTTGATCAGGGATACCAGTGATCTAGTATCACCCTCACAACACCTCCCTCCTAAGACAAACATTAGATGTGTATGTCTTCTTCTTCGGATTGATTTGCAATCGAACTGGCGGACGTCTTGACCGTTTCTGTCGATCGGTTGGAGCGGGCAGATCGGCATCTTGAATCGGCACATGGTCCTTGTTCGGCACAGTATGGTCTTCTCGTATGGGTTCCTTAGCGTCCAGACGTGGAAGCAGCGGCAAATCGAATGCATCCGTAAGCGATGTCGTATTTGCTGGGCAGGTACTGGGCCGCAGTTGATTGGCGTGTCTTCTCCAGAGTTGGTCGTCGACTTGAACATCATATAGACACTGTCCATGTTGAAGTTTCACTCGGCCTTGTGTCCATCTTGGGTATCCAGCACGGTAGTCGCGAATCCAGACATAATCACCAGGCTTGAACCTTCTTGGCTTTGCTCCGTGATGAAGGTTGAATTGAGTTTCCATCTTTTGGTTTCTTCTCGGTTCTGAGATTGATTCCGACGGTTTCAGCAATGTGAGCGTAGAGCGTAAACGTCTTCCGAGAAACACTTCGGCTGGTGACAATCCGTGCAATGTTGGACATGGTGTTCTGCGGTAGTTGAATAGGAAAATTTGTAAAGCTTCTTGTGTCGTTCCTTCCCCTTTGAGTTTCTGAAGGTTCCGCTTGAATGTATCCACGAAGCGTTCTGCTTGGCCATTGGATTGTGGGTGAAATGGTGGTGAGCGAACATGTTTGATTCCATTCTGTGAACAGAATTCCTTGAATTCTTTTGACGTGAATGATGTTCCGTTGTCAGTGACGAAAACTTCCGGGTAGCCGAACTGTGAGAATAACCGTTGGAGTTCCTTGATTGTTGAGCGAGTTGTTGTGGATGACATTTCAGTAATCTCTGGCCACTTCGAGTAGGCGTCCACGAGTACAAGGAACATTCTGCCATCAATTGGTCCTGCAAAGTCTGCATGAACGCGGTTCCATGGCTTCTCTTCTGTAGGCCACGAGGAAAGGGTAGTCTTGATGGGGTTCTTGGCCATTTGCTGGCAACGGATACAAGAGTTCACTTTGTCCTCGATATCCTTGTCGATGTGTGTCCAGTAGCAATAGTCTCTAGCCAGCATTTTCATCCTTGAAATCCCAGGATGACCATTATGTAAGTCTGAGAGAACAGCGGCTTGTAGACTACCAGGGATGATGACGCGATCTCCGAATAGTAAGCATCCTCTGTGAGTCGTGAGACTGTTGCGCATCGAGTTGAAACGAATTAAGTGATTCTTTGGTTTCTTCGGCCATTTTCCAGTTTGAACGCATTGAAGAACTTCTCTCAATTGTGAATCCTTGAGCGTTTCTTCAGCGATAGTTGTCTGCTGTTGCTGGGAGTTTTGTAGATGTCTGCGAGAACAGATTTACAGCATCCAGGTTGATTTCGGCGATGACTGTATCCTCCATCGGAGTTGGCTGTTCGGCAATGAGCCGGGATAGTGCGTCGGCTTGTCCGAAGTTGCTGGTGGTCCGGTGTTCAATTGTGAAGTTGTAGTTGAGCAGGATGAGTGACCACCTTTGGAGTCGATTTGCTGTATAGACAGGAATGCCCTTTTTACTTCCAAATATTGTAAGGAGTGGCTTGTGATCCGTCAAAAGTTTGAAAGGGCGTCCGTGGAGGTAACGATGGAATTTTCGGACTGCGAATACAAGGGCGAGTCCTTCTTTTTCCACTTGTCCATAGTTCTTCTCTGCAGCTGTGAGGGTGCGGCAAGCATGGTAGATTGGCTTCTCCGTTCCATTCGAGAAACGATGTGATATTACTGCTCCTATCCCATATTCGGAAGCATCGGCCGCGACGATTATTTCCTTAGAAGGGTCATAATGAGTGAGCAGTAGATCTGACGACAGGACTTCTTTGGCACGATCGAAGGCTTGTTGGCATTCTGGTGACCAATTGAACGGTACATCCTTTTTGAGTAGCTTGTCCAATGGCGCGCGAATCTGGCGCATTTGTTCGACAAAGGCTCCATAGTAGTTGAGTAATCCCAGAAACGATCGTACTTGTGTGATATCCTTGGGAGGTGGCATCTTTTTGATAACCTCTGTCTTCGCAGGGTCAGGATGGCGTCCATTTGCATCGATGATATTGCCTAGGTAACGGATCTGAGGCATCAGGAAACTGCACTTCTCGATGCGGACGCGGAAGCCGAATTTGTGGATTCTTTCGAAAAGGGCTTCCAAATTGGCGGTGTGCTCTTCTTTAGTGCGACCAGTAACGATTACGTCGTCTAAGTATGCGGCACATCCATTCAACCCAGCAATCATGGAATCTATGATCTGCTGAAAGATGCCTGGAGCAGATTTAACTCCGAATGGTAGACGATTGTAGGCAAATAGTCCTCGGTGGGTGTTGATCGTCAGAAGTTCTTTTGAGGCATCGTCGACTTCCACTTGCAAGTAGGCATCGGCAAAGTCGATTTGCGTGAATACTGTTCCACCATTAAGTTTTGTGAAAATATCCTCAGGTGTGGGCAGTGGGTGCTGGTGCAGCATAAGCGCGTCGTTTAGGCCAGTGGAATAGTCGGCACATAGGCGAATAGTTCCGTTTGCCTTCTTCACTACGACGATAGGTGCTGCCCATTTGGAGTAGGTAGCACGTCTTCTGCGAGTAGACGGTCAATTTCCTTGTCAAGTGCTTCAACGTTGGCATATGGTACCGGGCGTTTCCTCTTGAATACAGGTACGGCGTCTGGTTTCAGTTTCAGAGTTGCTTTTGCCGTCGTGCATCGTCCGAGACCAGGTTCAAAAACATTTGCGAATTTCTTCTTCAGGTTGGCAACTAGGGCGTCTCTGAAGGCAATTTCGCGGTCCACGATGATTGTTTGATGGATTTGATACTTCTTGACTGCTCTGTAAAGGTCTGGAAGTTGTTTGATCCACGGCATTCCAAAAACGTTGCAGTCGTCTTCGGTGACGAAGCATGTTCCACGTCCAGGGAATAGTTTTCCAGATGAGTTGCTTACCGTGAAGTCGGTCTCGAAGCATCCACGGAACTTCAGAGGGGATCCGTTTGCTGTGTATCCAATAACATCTGTTTTCTGCAAAATGGGCATTCCGACCAGTTTCCATTTGGCTTCGGAGATAATGGTGAGGTCAGCACCGGTATCAAGTAGGAGTTGCGTCGGATAACCATTTATGTTTACATCTAGTTGGGCTGGGGTGGTTGTCCCTTTATAAGAAAGCAGCTATGACAATTTCAACTTTTAATTACGTTTCCGGCCGCATGGTGGCGCCCTATCTCGTTCCACACGTATGCGATCTCGCCTCCTTCCGCTAGAGTTGGTAGCGGAAACGCAATTTGCAAATTTTGCGCTCTTCAGATGGTTGAACTTCTTATCGCCAAGTCCTCTTCTTGTGACGCGATCAGCGTTCGACGCCTGCTCACCTTCAAAGCATACGAAACTCTTCCTGATAATGACTTGATCAGCTACACTCCGCTGTGAGTCGCTTACGTGTGACCTTCCCTCGAATTGGTGCCAGCTTTCTTAGCAGCGTGTAGGTACTGCCGTCAAACGGTGTTAAACTCTGACCTTCATACCTGCATCTGAAAGCATTCGAAATCGCGCGACGTGAATAGTCGAACTGTGATTAGCCGTCCGATCCGAATTGACGTTCCAGGATTTCCAAGACTTCGCTCCATGACAGTTCCGACGGCTGTTTGGGCGAAATGGCTGCGGTCAGCATTCGATGACAGTTTCATCCAGGCGCGAAACCAGTAGTCTCGTTCTGTCCTTTTCGTCGAGGTCACTGCACTCGTTTTCGAACAGGTCTGATATCGCTTGAACCACATGTCGAAAGTGCGGTCTCTGTCGGGACGCATCACGTATGGGTTATCGCTCCGACGATAGACGAGAATCGAAAACAGCGTGGGCCTGTCTTTTGGTGAGTGGACTGTCGGCGGCTGACATCTTCTCCATGAGCTTGACGAGTGCTGCTCCTTGTTCATCCATTCTGCGTGACTGGATGTCGAGCTGCTTCTGGATAGCTTGGAGGAGTGCAGGGAGTGCTTCCATTGTTGAGTCCTTGTGGTTCTTCTGATCGCCACTGTTGTAATCCTTGTAGTGTATGCAGAACGCGTACGACGAGGATGAAGGAGTTTATTCTGAAGCACGATGAGCAATAACAGAATGAACCATACTCAATGACTGGTCTTATATACGGCCAGTATAGGATGTTGATCAGGGATACCAGTGATCTAGTATCACCCTCACAACACCTCCCTCCTAAGACAAACATTAGATGTGTATGTCTTCTTCTTCGGATTGATTTGCAATCGAACTGGTGGACGTCTTGACCGGTTGGTTGCCAATTTCAAAATAGACAAGTATTGATAAATCGCCGTGTCGTTTCCGACCAATTTTTCAATAATCATCTGTATATATTGGTTCATCTCTGAACGGAATACATCATTCAAAAATAACTTTGTAGATCTGAATTGCAAGACTCCGAGCGTAAGGTAGCGATGCCATGTCATGTTCGAAAAGCTTAACATATCTTTCATGTAGTCAGCCGTCGGTGACGGCGCAGCAAGCAGGACAGCAAGCATCACCCTCTTATAAATATAGTCAGTATCACTCAACTGTCTGACTCCTGCTCTTAAGCTGACCAAGTACTTCTGAACACATGCCATGAACAATTCAGTGTGGCTTTCTGCTTCTTCTAGC